TCATATGATGCTCTTGTATGCGGGCTGAACACTGCGTAACGGATGAAGTTTTATTTGTATTATAACACTCAGTTATTAAATAAAAACATAAATAATGTAATCTACCACATAAAATATTATTTCCATTTATTTCTACTAAGATTAGATTGCATTAAGTTTGGGCAAATTGGTGTCTACCTGAGATTAAATAGCTTGATTTCCCTGGATAGTTTAGATTGAGGACTCGAGTTCTAGCATTCTTCTTTCAATTTTACTGGAAAGCTTGTCTATGTGTATGAGTGGGTCTCTGAATGGTTCTCTTTCAGGATTAGTCTTGATTATGAATCTGCTTGTCCATGGTAATATTATAAATTCTAAAGTAACCTGTGTTTTTCCTGTCTATGACGATTTTTAATATAAAGATTACGGGGACATTCGGGAAAGACCAAAGAGACGTTGCAAAATTAACTTTTGAGGGACAACAATCTATATGTATCGGATAGCGTAGTGGTTTAAGCGGTTGCCACGCCGCTTCCTACTGCGCCGAGTGTTGTGGGTTCAAACCCCACATGGAACGACACTTTGTGTGATCCACAAATTGTTGTTCTGAGTCTGGGTGTTCTTTGTGTCCGTTTCATATATGTTTGTAAAGTCCCCCGCGACACAGGAATGTATTCCTACTGCGGGAGTTGTCTTTAAAAAAAAATATATATAATATATATATTATGTTAGAGGGGGCAGACGGGTCACCTGATGGAAAGTGACTATCGCCGCCCATGAACGTCTGCAACTCAGGAGTCACAAACGCGTTGCCGGCCTTTTAGGAAGGAGTACGCTCTTTTCTTGAAGGTTTGAAGGTCGTATCGGTCCCGAAATACCGCAGAAAAAAATATCGTTCATCATTTACTGATCGATCAATGCAGAAGTTCCACGGGTCCAGCTGGTCATCCACACAGTTTAGCGATGTTTTTTTTAAATAATTGTAATATTAAAATATTCTCCATTTGTGATCCATCAAGTTAAAATAATGGATACCTAAAGTGCTTATGTTTTTGACTGACTTGGTGAGCGATCTTGACGACCCAGGACAATTTTACATATAGGTAGTAGTGAAACATCTGTCCCTGTACAGGAACATTTGTTTCACTACAGTCAGGTTTTCGTATATTGTTTTCCTTAGTTTGCATCTACATTTCTTATCTTAAATAGTTTATCTTTTTAACACTCTTTTAAAATTGACAAGTATTTAGATAAAAGTTTTTAAATTGATGTTTGTGCTAGCAGAAGTGAAAATATATATCATCTTAGTAATGAAACCTTTATTATTGTAAGTTGTTATGCAAAATATTTTAGTAATTATTACTTGTTCATACTGTTGATTACAATATAAGTTGATAATATATGTTTACTTTTAATTATTGGTAACGAGGGATGTAATTTATTTAAGTGTCCCTTTATAGACAATGGGCACATGAGTTATACTTTTTTACAAAAATTGAAAAAAAATGTTGTAATTTTTTTTTTGGTTAATATTTGATTCAACAATAGCTGAAAGGAAATGTAGTGTAACAAAAGACTACCGGGGGCTTGAACAAGCATTCGAAAATATTTTGGTTGAAGAAACTGACTCTGAATTGATAGCTATTCCAACAGAAGTGTGTGATTAGCACGTTTCAATCATTTGTTCGCATTTCGTTGTAATTTATCTATATATATGGATGTATTTAGTAATGTAGTATATACCTCACACATTTCACACACGGCTGTCTGATCCCAAACTAGGCAGAGCCTGTACTATGGTTACCAGACTCCTGATAAACATACTTATATATTTTTAAATACATACATATTATAGATAAATTACACCCAGACACAGAACAAATGATCATATGCTCATCACACAATATTTGTCCTGGGTGGGAATCGAACCCACGACCTCCGGCTTAGCAGTCAGGGGCACTAACCACTCGACCAACAGGCGGTAGTGAGAATGTAAGCGTTCTGGTTATCATAACTCAGGTTCAGCCTTATTTAGGATCTTACCATCGTATATAAAGCTATTATTATAACATTCTATGCAGTAGAAGTCCCAAAAGATGATGACTATAAAACTTCATTATTCATAAAAATTAAATATTCGTTTGAATTTATGTTTTACTTTTCACTGTTCGTGACAAATGGGTGTGAATTATAGTCTTTGTACCCGGGCATTAGAGACTATACGAGCAAAATTTCAATATAATCTGTTTAGTGGTTTATGAATAAAATTCGGAGAATACAGACAAATGTATAAAAACAACATTGTCGACATAAATAGGTTTAGAAATATTTTTAAATGAGTCTAGGATTTCGTCTATGGGTATAGTAATTAATGAACCTGACTGCAGACCCAAGGTTGTGGATCCATTTTCTACAAAAGTGGTTTAAGCGTTCGCCACACCGCTCACTATTACGCTGAGTGTTGTGGGTCCGATCCCCACATGAGACGACACTTTGTGTGATCCACATATTGTTGTTCTATGTCTAGGTGTTCTTTGTGTTCCAATTATGTATGTTTGTTAAGTTCCCCGTGACATAGGAATATATTCCTAATGCGGGAGCAGTCTTTTTAAAAAAAATCGGTTGTCTGTAAAGTCGGTTTACTGACGATAGTTGAACGAGACAACGTCATAAGAAAATACTGATGGAATGGTTGCATTTTTCAAAAATGTATTATTGTATACGAGTAGCAGCTGTCCACGCGGACGCATCGCTTACTCAAGTAGGAGAGAGACAGGTGTCGAACGCTGCCGAACGCGGAGGCCGATTGTGCCTCTTTGTCATTCGTTCCGCGCTCTCGCTTGCACTTCACGCCTTAAATGGAACGCCTCAGAGCGAGGTAACGCCGCATGAGTCATGTTTTTTCGTAACTACAAAAAAGTTACGCCATTTCTCCGTTGCTCTCTATTAGACTTTTGCCTCGCGTGAATTTGGTAATAAAATGTCAATTAACCATAAACTGTCAATTCCCTGGAAATGAACGACATTCCAGTATTCATTCAGGGAAATTCAGTTTATGGTTGAAAAGCCATTAATTAAGTCGTTGGTGACTAATGGAGCGCACTTTTTGAGTTCTTTTTATTAATTTTTCAGTGAATATAAATTACTTTTGACTGAGACACAAACTATGTATTCAGTTCTCCATCCTCAGCTTAATAAAATGTTTTCCAAAACAGTTTATTAAATAACTATTCATTTAGAGTTAAAAATATACAACATTATTTTCAATAACAGAAAGTAAGTGATATATAAAATTATGTTAAACATGCTTTTGTAACGGGTCATTAAGTTTAAAATTAGAATTAGTAAAAAATACAACTCATAAAATATATTTTTTAAAGAATGGTTTTAATCATCCTCATCATTATCAACAGCCTTTAATAGTCAACGTTAATTCCTTTTTCAAAGAAAAATTATAGTAAATAACTACATGCGCTGAGTAAACAAACCCCAAAAAGGCGTGAAGACAAATAAAAATTGGGTAACAACTCGTATTCGTTTAATTTAAGTTTTTGTTATACACAGAGTGAAATTATAAACAAAAAGGGGTGTTTAACGTCTGTAAACTAAAAATCATGTTTTATTAATGAAATAATATAAAAAAGTAAGAGATTTGAGAAATCATCATCATCATCATCAACAGCCTTTAATAGTCCACTGCTGGACATAAGCCTCTCCTTAGAAAGGAGGTTTTGGCCTACTGTACCACGCTCTCCAGACGGGTTGGTAAAGGGTTTGTGTCAAGTTTTCCTTCTCTCTGCAGTGCTGTTTTTCTCTGAAGAATATGAAGTGTGAAACAATTCATTTTTTTTTTTTTATCGATGTGTATCGATGTGTACCTATGCAAATTCATGGGAATTTGCATAGGTACATATCGATTAATGGTATAGTGTGTATTGAAAATTTACATCCATATAAAAATAAAGCAGCTGTTACGTTTCCAGGCTTAAAAACGGGTGATATAATTTTGTCAATGTATTTTCTATTGGAAATTTTACAATCGACACTTCTTCTACAATCGGCCTTTTTCTAGCATGGAGAATTAGCATTGCCATTCAACGTGGCAATACTGCCAGTCTTCTGCCAGAATTTTTTGATGCGTGTACGTAAATAATGTGAATAGTTCAATTTAAGTATAATAATATTTTTCTTTCACATCACATCAACAGCCTTTAATAGTCCACTGCTGGACATAGGCCTCTCCTTAGAAAGGAGGTTTTGGCCTACTATACCACGCTGGCCAGACGGGTTGGTATAGGGATTGTATCAAGTTTTCCTTCTTTTTGCAGTGCTGGTGTCCTGCGTTGTTTTGCGCCCTTAGTCGCCTCTTACGACACCCACGGGATGAATTGGGGTAGTGACATTCCGTATTCTTAATCCGTCACTACACGGACAATATTGTTCTTTAGTTCATGTAAAAGCCAATTAATGATTATGCTACTTTAATATTTTAAATAAAGTCTTAATTGCAACAAACAATAAAATAATAGGTTAATTTGAATTTCCAAACAATTTTAATTTAGTTAATACTAACCGATGCCATGCGGCAACTAACGAGATTTTAATTAAAAAATTTAACAACCCTCTCTATTTATATTATTTTATATATTATTTTAGATTATTTTATATATTATGACTTAACTTACGTTAAAGTTTTTTTATATTTGAGATGTTTTGCCTTTTTCTGTATCCCTGACAAAGCATAATCTAATTTTCATGATGATTAGATAAACGGTAGAACAGGGCGTAAAATATGAACAAAAAATAAATGATTTTATATGTAAAATAAATAGGTAATTCATTTATTTAAGCATTGGTTATATTTGTTTTGGAGCTATTCTATGGAAACAGTTTACTCTGTATGTGAAAATACCCACATTTTCTACTTCTACAGAAATCTAGCATCCCCTTTAAACATTCGTACGATGAATAAGATTGCCAATAAATTTCCTATTAGATCTAATTTTATATTTGTTTTGCAGGACAATCCAGGCAACCAATTCAAGTCCATCCCTCTCGGGTTATGGTGGGCCATCGTGACGATGACTACGGTAGGCTACGGGGACCTAGCTCCGAAAACCTACTTGGGCATGTTTGTAGGAGCACTCTGCGCGTTGGCAGGAGTACTAACTATTGCGTTACCTGTTCCAGTCATCGTGTCGAACTTCTCCATGTTTTATTCACATACACAGGTGAGTTTAGGATTAGTGTGCACTTTTTTTTCACGTCACGACACGACACGTCACATTACAGTCCGACACGGCATGGTCTGACCCTTATGCAACTATAGGATGCTTTATAAAAGTTATGCCATAGATTCGTTACGACACAGCGACGTGGTTACGTGTTATACCCTTTATGTTGTGGACGTGAATGGTGTGATATTATCGTCAACGAAATATGAAAGGCGACTTCATATAATACACCACATGTTACTTTTTATAAGATAGCAAGGATTAAAAATTTATAAATATAGTGACGTTTCTTATGTGTTTATTTAACTTACAGCTTTATGTTTGCAAATACTTGATGTATAGCGTATATACTATTGATGCATATGATATTTGGATCATTAGAGTCATTTTAAATGATTTTTAAAACCTTATGAACTGTTGATTGTACATGTTAAACTCGTATATGTTTTAAGTGTGACTTAAGTCCAAGAAAAGTTCTTGTACTATTCATTTCAACTGCACTCTAACTTTATCATATTAAGACAGGTTTCTAGTTTTCATAGCGTAGTACACTTCATAGCGTAGTGATTAATAATTTCAAATCAGATATCACACAAGCCACTAGCTTTTGAAATTATATTATTACTTTAATATTCACTAAACACATAAATAAATGTTTTTAAAAAATAGTATGGTTTACCTAAAATATGCCTCGACTCTTATTTAAAAAACCATAAAAAAAAAGATTACTTAAGCAAACAATTAATTTCTAAAACAACAGTCTCAAACTTTTAAACAGTTGGTTTGACTACATTTGTGATACAGTTATTAAGACTATTCACTTTTAGCTTTCTAACTTTATTTTCTTGAAGACACTCCCTTTAACTAGGTTCGGGACCTTTTCTAAGTACAAAATAATTTATTCATTCTTCGCCGGCTCGTACGAAACTACGGAGTTTACGACATGAATAAAAGTATGGAATAATGTAAACTTTATCTACCATTATCGGACGTAAAAAGGTCCTTCAAAGCGTAACTTAGTGGGTACTAAATAAAAAATAAGTATGAATATCACAGGTCTTTATGTTTGAAATATCCGAAGATATTTGAAAAGTACTTTAGTATTTTTTCATAGTTTTTCTTTTCCTTCGGTTTCGACCTTTTCGAAAGCGATTCGGGCCTTGTATTCAGAATAATACTCATATCATACATATTTTATTTGTCTCTCGGTTTAGAAAATTTACTAAATAAAGTTCTAAAAAAATGATCTTTTTGTGAGAGTATTTAAAATAAAATGTTAAATTAAATTTTGTATATTCATTATAATTATTGATTGGCAATAGTAATTCTGGGTGAGAATCAAACCCACGACCTCTGGCTTAGCAGTCAGGGTCACTAACCACTGAACCAACCGCCCCGTCAAATACAACGAAAGTTAACATATAACTGAGAAAATGGCAGATTTGATAAACGATTAAAACCATTTCTAAAGCTTCTTGAAATAAACATAACTAAATACCACAGTTGATAGGTGTACTCCACTAGGGTCCACTGCATATTATAGGTAAATAATATGCAATGGACTGTATAGTAACTATGAGTACTATATTGTGGATAACAAAAGAAATACATTAATTTCGGAACCACATTAAAAATATAAACTGGTGTGCCATGTACCGTGTTCGGTAGCGTAGCGTCGACGCCCGACGCGCCGGCGAGGGCCGATCTCCCACGCACCCGACAGCCAACTGCCGATGCGTGACGAAGACACCCGAACAACCACCGCACCATGTCTTAGACCTCAACGCAAATAAAATACTAAATAATTCCATGCCGAATCACTTTCTATCAATAGTAATGTGATGTGAAGTAAAAAAGCCAAATAACCCAAAAAAGATTTCCTCGTTCCCAGAATCCATTAAGATTTTTCCCGCATCATGATGACGTTAACTATTTTAGGTGAGGCAAAATACAAGGCAGGTGAGTCTAATATCGTTTTATGGTCAACAAATGTAGCGTGAGTAGCCTTCGCAGGTCATTGCACAGAGCCTTCAACCCCTTGGTTAGGGGTGTATATTTATAACGAAAAAGTTGTTGAGAAGGGATCTAAAGCATTAAGATGAATCTAACATATAAATATAATACTCTGATGATCTCTAATAGTCTAAGATATATTACACAGCGCTTTCTAGAGCCAATTTAAATATAATAATAATATTTTTTTACCATACTCACACAACGCCATCTAATCCCAATCTAATCAGAGCTTGTACTATGGGTACTAGACAACTGATATAAATACATATATTTTTTGTAAATACATACATATTATACATAGAAACATAAAGACTAAATCAAACATTAAATGTTCATGCACACAAATGTTTGACTTGAGCGGGAATCGAACCCGCGACCTTTGGCGTAGCAGCCCGTTACACAAACCGCTACGCCATCTGGCCGTCTAATTAGGCAGTGTTCTATGGTAACGAGGCGAATGATAAACATTTATCTATCTATCTAAGCAGCCTGTTGCACCCACTCTGGGTTTAGGCCTCTTCTCTATCACGCCACTCCTGGCGGTTTTATGCCAGCTGGATCCATTGCTCTTCTACCGCCCTCACGATGTCGTCTGACCAGCAGGCGGGTGGTCTGCCTAGAGGCCACCGCATATCTCTTGGCCACCATGTACCATTTTTTATTGAATTGGAGGGAGGAGGTGAGGGGCAAATGAGCAAACGGGTCACCTGATGGTAAGTGTCTACAACCGCCAATGGACACCTGCTACTCAAGAGTCACAAGTGCGTTGCCGCCCTTTCTGTCCTGTTGCTCTAGTGGTTAGTGACCCTGACTGCTACGCCAGGGGTCGTGGGTTCGATTTCCACCCAGGACAAACAATTGTGTGATGAGCACGGTCATTTGTTCTGTGTCTGGGTGTACTTTATCTATAGATAATATGTATGTATTTAGAAATATATAAGTATGTTTATCAACAGTCTGGTGCCCAGTTTGGAATCAGGTCAGGTTGGTGCCTAGTTTGGAATCAGACGGCCATGTGTTAAGTGTGTGAAAATATTATTTCAGTCTCTCTCCCAGAATCAGGGGGGTGGGAGTAAGACTGTACTCCGGTAACGTTGTCACTCGGTGAAAAGCAACAAAAACTACTTAACACCGGTATTCTGTGAGGCTGTGATGTCATTCCAGTCAAGACTGGGTCATATGTGATGAAAAATGGCTCTCCCACAATGTTAATAAATACGTGTACAAACATATTAACCTCCTTCTCTTACTCTGAACTTCTCCGGACTTAACTTTCAGAAGCCAGAATAACGACCTTATTTAAATGCGGAACTAAAAAGCTGCAGTAGATACTAATATTTGTTCCGCTTACACTTTTAAAAAAGACTTCCTTTTCTAAAGAGTTCTAGGATCCTTTTGGATGATAATGTACAATGTCCAGAAACCTGTACAACTGAGAGTTTATTTTATTTTTATTTTTCGGACATCGAACACACAACGCCATCTAGTTTTAAATTAAGCAGAGCTTGTACTATGAAAGCTAGATTGACTGATAGAATACTTATATACTTTTCTTAATACAAACATATTTATACAGAGAAAACACCCAAACTCGAATTCTAAATTAACACAAAGGTTATTTTAAACAACTACAAAACAACCTGGTGATGTAATTTTCCATAATTCTTATTATACTGAGAACTCGATGCCGAATATAGCAGGATATATACACCACTAATATCGATTTTTATTTAACAATATCAATAGGTATGCTCTTAGAAATCAAGTTCCGCCCGAAAACGTTTGACCCAAATATTATTATAACGGAGACTAAAAGGTCAGTGGCGATTCAATTAAGCTATTAATGGCTCTAGTTTCGTTTTAGATCTTGTTCAGTTTTAATAAATAATTACTTTATCTTTTGAAGAAGTCACTTTGAGATAAATGTGCAAATAGGTCAGCGTATAATAAAAAAATACTGGTCAATTGATTAATTTCGTTGCCTCTGTTTTTAGTTTTTTTAGTTATATTTCACATCACATCACATCACATCAATAGTCTATAATAGTCCACTGCTGGACATAGGCCTCTCCTTATAAATTAGTTTTGGCCTCCTATACCACACTGGCCAGACGGGTTGGTAAGGGGTTTGTGTCAAGTTTTCGTTTTCTTAACTGTGCTCTTGTCCTGCGTAGTCTGCTCGCTTAGTCGGCTCTTACGACACCCATGGGATAAATAGGGGTGGTGACATTCCGTATTCTTAATCCGTCACTACTCATCATCAACAGCCTTTAATAGTTCACTGTTGGACATAAGCCTCTCCTTAGAAAGGAGGTTTTGGCCTACTATATCACGCTGGCCAGACGGGTTGGTATGGGGTTTTGTGTCAAGTTTTCCTTCTCTCTGCAGTGCTGTTGTTCTGCATAGTTTTCTCCCTTAGTCGGCTCTTATGACACCCACATGATGAATAGGGGTGGTGACACTCTGTATTCTTAATCCGTCACTACTCGGATTATGGTTATAGTTATTATTATAAAATGTTTTTAAGGAATGACGGAAAAGACATTACATATTTTTTTCATTTTCCTATTTTGTAAGTTGACCTTAATATTTTAAATCTGTCATTTTCATCATCATCTTTATTCCAAAAGTACGTGTTAACACTACACAGTAATAAAGCATTTCTAATATTATACCCCACATTAAATTATAATTATTGCATTATGTTTTTGCCTTGTTCCAATTTTTTTTTTGGTATCAGTGGTTTAACACCTCATAAGGATTTTGGCTAATTTGTGCCTGCATGACACCAAACCTCACCCGGCAAGTAATTTTCTAAAGGGGCAAAAAAGACCCAGAATAATAAGTAATCCATCCCTACAGAGGAACACGCTGAGGAAAATAGTTCTTTTCAATAAATATAAATACAAACATACATTAAACACGCCTCAATCCCGTTCGAAGTAAGCAGAGATGATGGAACGTCATTTGGAACATACAGCTCACGCATTTTTCACATTCATAAAACCGTTAACCAAAGGAAAGCTTTACTATCAGTGAGTAATATAGGCTGCTTTTTATCGCGATAACCACCATAAACGCTGTCAGAGCCACTTGCAAAAGCTAGTGGTTACATATATCTGTGTGATATGAGAAACCATTTCTGACTTATTAATACAAACTTAATAATTCAACAGTATTATTTAAAACAAGGAAAAATAATGAAGCTGTCCATTTGTAGTCTTCCGAAACCAAAACCAACAAAGTAAAACAAACTTGTTCATTGAATTTTTAAAAGCACGAACAATCTTCCGCCGCACGTAAAAACTTCGCTCTGTTTGCGATGCAAATACTTGTAATAATTATGTATAATATACTGGCAACTGTTTTCATAAAACTAGACAGATT